ACACTTTTTAGATAAACTGTTAAACCCTTCACAACTTTTCTGTGAACTTTTTTTTGTTATTACCATAGCAACGCCAGTATGAAGGACGCCATCTTAAAATTTTTAAATTGTCATAACTTCTAAATGCCTTAATCGATTTCAAGAAACGACGGCTCATTTTAAAGAACTATTAATAAAATTTATATGTATATGGGAATAAAAATATTATTTTCCTGGGCAACAGTAGACGACGCTAATCAAGAAAGTTTTGTAATTGTGTCCGTTTATTAAAAAAATTAAATGCAACCACATAGGTTTTTTTCCATGGCTTAATAGACCATTTATTAAGGAAAATAAATACACAAAGCGGTTGTCGATATTGTTTTTTATTTTCAAGTTATTGCTAAAATGGTGAAGTTGTGCTAGACCATCCTCCTTTAGTTAGTTCGACATAGTCCAAGCCAAAATTAAATTGTAAAACTGTACCAAGCTTGTGTTTTAATAAATACTTGCTTTATTTTGAATTTTTCCATAACGAGACAGGCTAGATACATTAATTTTTTTTTTATAATTAAACGTCATTTATGTAAATGCCTATATAATTTATTTCATTTATTGTGAAAACACACCCTTTACAGATTATTAACTTCTAAAACATCCTTTTCTGGCGGATATTTAGATGTTGAAAAAATATTCGAAGGCAAGTGTATGTATTTATTGACATCAATGAGTGATTATTTTGTAGGATATGATGATCTTATGATGAAAACTCTGTTTCGTGTTAATTATAATAAATATTTAAATTTAACTATTTATTTTTAAACACGTCTCTGTCACTACATAAGAGGTCTGTTCAGAAAATAAAGTTTTGAAAGATAATGTTCGATTATTTTCTGAACAGACCTCGTACATACTCGACGTAGGACAACAGAAAACCGTCACCCGTGAATTTTAACCCCGCGTCGCCCCGCCCTCGACACCCCTTTGTCTCACAGGCTTTGTTTTGCAGGCGAGGTGCAGACGAGCGCCTACCCCGGCCGCATAATAGTGACGGAGCCGAAAGGAAACACTCAGCCCAGGATAAGCGTCGACAAGTACAATGCTCGGCGCGTCGTCCTCGGCGAAGACGTCACCCTGCCTTGCGTGGCGCAAGGACATCCGGTTCCCGGTTACTACTGGAAGAGAGAACTGCAAGGCCAGAGCGTACCTGTTGCGCTGGGTGAACGACTCACCATCCTCTCAGCCGGCTTACTGAGGATATCTAAGGTATGAAAATTATTCGCTTGCAGAATTATTTAAATGGTTTTGTCTAATGATGGATAAAACTGCAATACGGGGTGGTTTATACCAGGAAGCGAAAAATTAAGGATCTGGTGCAGAAATGCGAAATATCTTTTTTCCNAAAAAATTAAATGCAACCACATAGGTTTTTTTCCATGGCTTAATAGACCATTTATTACGGAAAATAAATACACAAAGCGGTTGTCGATATTGTTTTTTATTTTCAAGTTATTGCTAAAATGGTGAAGTCGTGCTAGAACATCCTCCTTTATTTATTTCTCGAAATAACATTGACACAGCACAAGCCATAATTAAATTATAAAACTATTCATATACCAAGCTTGTCTTTAAAAAAGTACTTGCATTATTTTGAATTTTTTTTATAACTAGGTACAGTGTTTCCTTTTTTTATGTATTCCAAATATAACGATTATTGTTTCCATAACGAGGGAGGCTAGATACATTATTAAAGTTTTATAAAATTAAACGTCATTTATGTAAATGCCTATATAATTAACTTCTAAAACATTCTTTTCTGGCGGATATTTAGATGTTGAAAAAATATTCGAAGTCAAGTGTATGTATTTATGGACATCAATGGGTGATTATTTTGTAGGTTAACTTACCTTATGCTGAAAACTCTGTTTCGTGATAATTATAATGAATATTTAAATTTAACTATTTATTTATTATTTTACATTATTTTTAAACACGTCTCTGTCACTACATAAGAGGTCTGTTCAGAAAATAAAGTTTTGAAAGATAATGTTCTATTATTTTCTGAACAGACCTCGTACATACTCGACGTAGGACAACAGAAAACCGTCACCCGTGAATTTTAACCCCGCGTCGCCTCGCCCTCGACACCCCTTTGTCTCACAGGCTTTGTTTTGCAGGCGAGGTGCAGACGAGCGCCTACCCCGGCCGCATAATAGTGACGGAGCCGAAAGGAAACACTCAGCCCAGGATAAGCGTCGACAAGTACAATGCTCGGCGCGTCGTCCTCGGCGAAGACGTCACCCTGCCTTGCGTGGCGCAAGGACATCCGGTTCCCGGTTACTACTGGAAGAGAGAACTGCAAGGTCAGAGCGTACCTGTTGCGCTGGGTGAACGACTCACCATCCTCTCAGCCGGCTTACTGAGGATATCCAAGGTATGAAAATTATTCGCTTGCAGAATTATTTAAATGGTTTTGTCTAATGATGGATAAAACTGTAATACGGGGTGGTTTATACCAGGAAGCGAAAAATTAAGGATCTGGTGCAGAAATGCGAAATATCTTTTTTCCTATTGGGCTCCGTTTTTCAGATATCAAGGTTGACAGTTTTCAAAGATAAATTTCAACTTTTACAAAAAGTAACATCAGTTAAAATACTGCAAAGAATAAATGTATCTAGGTTTGATGTTAACACTCATTAAATTGTGAGAAATTCTTTCGTATATTTCCTTATTTTATTGGATTAACAGCGAAATTTGTAAAAATCACCACGTAGTAAATAGCCACCAGGTATATAAATTACACAGGTACATAAAAAAAAAGAAAAGCAGTCTGTTTCAAAGACAATATTTATGTATCCTTTGTATTTTGTGGCGCTGAATCCGAATCACCCTCTATTTTTTTTAAATCGTGAGAAACCACCATTAAATGCAGAAGGTATGGAAAATTTATATTTTTCAAAACTAGAGGGAGTCCAACATATTCCATTCCATTCCCTCCAGTAGATTAGCATTTTTTGACAAATACTTCTTTAAAATTTCATTAATTTTCGGTTGGTTTTTTAGTTTTAATACTATGTGTATTTGTCTAGGGCAGGGGTCGGAAAACTTTTAAGCCGGAAGAGCCATCTGAATTAAAAATATCAATTTCATGAATTTCAAAGAGCCACGAATTTTTATTTCTTTTTTTACATTTTATTTCAAATTTAAATCGGATACGGTCCAAACGCGTCTTTATGTGTAGAGTAAAGGTACCTATTATGGAATACTTTTCAGTTTTTATTATACAACATTAACAATTGTTGACATTTTTTATTCAAATTTGGTATACATATTATGTGACCATATTACAGGCGACTTGTCTCACTGAATTTCCTCTAAAATGGCGTACAACATGAAAGGAAAAAAAATATTTCATAGCTGCGTTTTTCCATATTAGGAACATATAGTTCCCAATATGGAATACATAGAAAACTAAAAATAGAAAGAGAATAAGATTTGTTATTAAATGAATGCTACTAAGGGTCAAATACAAATGTTTATTTTTTAATAAAAAAGTTACTTATAAGCTGTTTTTAGGTAGAATAATATTTATTTGGTGAATATGAATAAACATTTCTAATCTTTAGTGCAAAATTTACATAAAAATTGTTTTTTCGGGTATTTCGCACATCTGCAGTGAGCCCATCTGCGACACTTTTGGCACTGAATCCAGTCACCATGAATACTTCTTGACCATAACCCTTCGCAATATAGACATTCTGCATCTGACTCGCTGTTTTCCATTTCATCTGAAATATCATTCAAACTATCTGAACTTGAGTCCATCGATATGTCACTGTCGGAACTTGAGGAGTCTTGTTTCTTCTTACTATTTTTAGTATTTTTAGGAATAGTTCCCATAACATTCCTCTTGACATTTACCACATTTTGTTTGGAAGTGCTAGCTTTGCTTTCAAGTTCATCTTTATTGGGAGTACTCGTTAAAACCGTAGCTTTACCCTTTTTTCTTCCTCGGGTTGATTGTTCTGTTATTACAATTGTGGGTAAAGGACACAGCATTTGGACCGACTGATTGTTTCAGATTCAGATTGTTTTCGACTGATGCATTTAGATTGTTTTCAACAGACGTATTAGAATTATTTTCTATTGGGTTTTCATTTACAGTAGCATCTTCAGATAAGAAATCATGATCTTGAAATATATTTATGTTTAACGGATAAATTCCAGTTCTTCTAAAACCATTTGTAGCAATTTCTAAGGTAGCTGCTTTGGAAAATGCAGAACCGATTAATTGTGAAACTTGGTAATGTGTAATAGGTCGTATAGGACATCTGTGGTTAGCTAGCCATCTCCTAACTTCCTCATTATAATAAGCCTTAAAAGGTCGCATGAAAGCCACATCTAAGGGTTGCATTTTATGGGAACAATGAGGAGGTAAACATACGATTGTAACATGTGATTGTCTGGCCAATAGAATGACATCTAAATTTCGAGTATGGGAAAAATGGCCGTCCAATATAAGCAAAACTGGGTCATCTACTGAGAGCTTAACATATTTGACAAAATGCTTAAACCACTTAGTGAACATTTCCATTTGTATCCAACAAGATTTGTGACAATCAAAAATGGAGCCTGGAGGAGTTCCATCTTTGAGCTCTTCTTTCATATTCTTGCGTGGAAATATTATTAGAGGTGGTACGTAAATTCCGCCTGCGCTCATGCAAACGACAAGAGTTACAAGGCTTCCTCGTTCTGCAGATGTCAAGCGACCTATCTGTTTTTTACCTTTCTTTGCTATTATTTTTACCTGTTGCCCCTGTACAATTGTGACACCAGTTTCATCACAATTAAACACCCTACTGGCTGGATAATTGTGTTTAGTGTATTCGATTTCCAGTATATCAAAAAAACGCTTTACATCTTCTCTGTTGAAACCTTTTACTCTAGCTAGTGACGTGCCTTGCGGAGTGCGAAGGCTAATTTCAGGATTTCTTTTGAGAAACTGTTTAAACCACTTGCGTCCTGCCATCTTATTTTCTTTATTGAATGGATTAGTGATATTGTTAGCGGTTGCCAATTGATAGGCCAATCGCTTCACATCGCTTTTTGATAATCCAAAATATCGTCCTTCCATCTCGACACAGTGAGCTGCTAATTGCTTCTCAAATTGTAAAGGGAACACCGGTTTTCTTCCTAATGGAATCTTAATAACTTCATCCATGGTCATGGTTGGATTTTCTTTTAACAGTTTAACAAATCTGTGTAAAGTTCCCCTTGGAATTTTAAAAACTTCCTGGGCCTTTAAATAACCCATTTCCCCTGATGTAACAGATTGTAATGCAGATTTTAAATTTTCTGTGTCCCAGCAACGCCTTTGTTTAGGGTTTAGTGCCATATTTATCTAAAAACATCGTTTATATATTACTGACTGTACAAAATTTTCTCTCTACTAGTCCCATCTTCACATGTTCCTAATATAGAATATTCAGCATTGCAAACCTGTTGATATTCCATATTAGGAACATTTGCGTGCTGGTTTAAAACATAACATAACCTAAGAAGTTCCTTTTATGGAACAATTCTGGTGGTTTAACTTGAAAGAGTAATAAAAACACAACAAGAAAATGTATCTCTAATGAATTTAAACCTACCTTCGTAATTTGTATAACACGCTAAATGACACACATACAAAAACTCTGCGGCAGAAATATTCTGTACAATACGAAATACCGGTCAAAATGGGAATATATCGAGTCATGACTTCTCAAAAACTTCATTTTTGGTGGGATTCTTGGAATGGTAACCAATCGAACAACTAGAGAGCGCCACTTGTCTCAATAAATAAGTATTCCATATTTAGTACCTATTCCATATTACGTACCTCTACTCTATTCGTGTGCTGTGTGTCTGTCCGCTTTAATTTTTAATTTTTAGAGTAACTTGAAGAGCTGCAATTGTCTCTTGAAAGAGCCGCATGCGGCTCGCGAGCCGCGGTTTGCCAGCCCCTGGTCTAGGGTATAAACTGCTTGTTCCTTATTGATGAGTTTTGCCAACTATTTAAAAGTTTGCGGCGATCTAAAGATTTCAAAACTGATTCTTAGACGGGTTTCACAAAAAATCCCGATCTCTTATATCTACAGGATAGTAGAGACAGAAAGTATAGCCGCCAAAAAACAGATTTCCATCCGGGGTTGAATGTGTAATGTTCCTGCTGCTTCCTCAGATTCTTCGGTGAGGAAAGGCAAGGGAACAAAAGTCTCAATTTTGCACTATATACATTTTATTGGAGACTATATGGGTTCAGTACCATGGCGCTATGTCTCCTTCTTTTCGTCATGTCGTCTATAATTAAATTAACTATATCCTCTTTTACCTAAACTGGGTATTAATGAACTTATGTCAAATATTTTTGCAACATGTCAGTTATGTCATTATGAGGTAAATACACGGATTTGTGTTGAGTAAAATGTAATTTTAAAATCTGACTTACCTCAACATTGCAAGGAGCCACCTTGAAGAACTGCTGATTTTCATAGAAGATGTTCAATATACCCACCATTTGCTTGCGCACAAGCTTCAGCGCGACGTATCCAATTCGCTCGCACGCGTTACAACATTGCCACGTTCTCTCGAATCGTATTACAAGCTTCGGCAATACGATGTCGCAATTGATCGATGTCACGAACTTCCGTAGAATACACAACACTTTTCACATATCCCCACAAAAAGAAGTCTAAAGGGGTGAGGTCCGGGAACCGGAGGGGGGCACCTAATTATAGTAGGATCGTATTCGACGCAAAGTAGAGCAAACAGTTCGGTCTTTTATCAAAGGAAAATCGTGTCATCACTTTTAAGTGGCGTAAAATGAACCATTTCAAATTTAGAATGAAATTGAATGTAAAATCTGAAATACCGTTGCATACGCACTGTGTTCTGGTAGTAGCTGTAGTTGCCCAGATGCATCGAGTGTACGAAATCGGTTATACGTTAAATACTGGCGAGCTTGGTCGTAAATCAAAGGTAAAATGTAGTGCATATGTGGAATTTAAAAAACAAATTGGATTTATAATAAATTACATTTAAAATAAATAGTTTATGAGAATAAAGGGATTTTTGTTGCCTTCATAATGTATAAAGAAATTATTCAATTCCTAAAACTCTTAAAAGCGTATTGCACTGGATCCCTTGACAGGCAATGATTTATTATTTTGCATCTTCCAATAACTCCGGCAAGCGATTTTGCAAAAAATCTAGATATGAAGCACCGTTTAAGTATCTAGGCAATTCAAAAGGTCCTATTAAAGTGTCATTAACGATACCAGCACACATGTTCACTTAAAACTATTGCTGTTGAAGGCACCACGACGTATTTCGTGTGGATTTTAGAGACAAAAAATTTATCACAGCAATGAATGATACTTTCGCTCAAAATTTTTTGGGGAATCAAATGAGTGAGGATTACTAGAATTTAGTTGAGGAATTGTTGGAAAACTTGGAACAGTCGGGTTGTTTCATGAACCTGAAATTGCATTTTCTGTATTCTATCTATCTATCTCTTGGAAGGAATTTCCCAGATTTTCGGGTTATTTTAAACGGTATAAAAATACTGGAGGGTGATAAGAGTGATTCCGATTTCGGATTCGGCTTCAGAACGTCAAAATACGTATAGATATGGTCCTGCAGTAACTTCTATTCTCCTTTCTATTCTCTCTCCATTTCTTAAGGGTGGTTTTTAAGCCAAATATAATCTGGGGGTGATGGGTGCAATTTTTCATTCGGATTCGGATTCAGCGCCTATAAATATGGTCCCCCCCCAAAGCAAGATATTTCGTATTTTCTGTACTTAAGAGTGGTTTTTCAAGACGTAAAAAAAATACGTAAGGATACGAAGCCTTTGAAACAAACGAATTTTCTTTTTTGTGTACCTGTGTATTAACTAATCCATTAGTCAACTCATATTCTTAAAGTAACAACCCCCTATGAGAACTATCCTCTTTTGCCTTATTGAATATTGAATGAAATAGAAACTTCAAAAGTATTAATAATAGATTCTGCTAGTTATTAATAAATTAAGGCTGTTAGGAAGAAACTAATTTCAGGTTCGGCTGGAAGACAGGGGAGTATACGTGTGCTTCGCTAACAACTCGGCCGGGGAGGAAAGCGTGCGAGTCACCCTTGAAATAACCGCTCCTCTGACGGCACACATCCAGCCCCAAGTCCAAGTGGTGGACATCGGGAAGGACGCCGGCTTCCAGTGTATAGTCAATGGGTATCCTGTGTCGCAAGTCAGCTGGCTTCACAACGGTAAGAACATAATTATCAATAAAGAACTAATAAGTTACCTAATTAATTAATTAATAATGATTGTATATAATTAATTAACGATCATTTTATTCAGCTGACTAGTTAAAAGAGACTTTTATTTTGGAAAAAAAAGGACTCAAAATAATAGTTTCCATGCCATTATTTCCTATTTTCGATGATTATGACATTTCTAGCTTTTTCATCAAAGAATTTGCCGATTTACT